TATGGGGGTGTTGGTGGGGTTCTTAGGGATTCTGGACCCTTTTTTTTTTTTTTGGCAGGGTGCTGACGACCCCGACCGGTAGGTCCCGAGCTGTCAAGGGCCGCCGACCGTCGGGGTATGCAGCACTGTGCCCCAATCTATTGATTATACCCCTCTGTCAAGTTGTTTGTCAACCCTCTTTTCTGCTGCCATCTCCTGTATTTCACAATCTTTGCCCTGCTGCTTTAATGAAGTTTAATGCCCTCTTCAGAGTCTTCACTCTTTTCACCTCTTCACTACTTTTATGCCATTTTCAATTTCTCACCACTCTTACGTCAGATTCGATCCTCATTTCTCTGCCGTAACATTACTGCTGTATCATCATTCCCTTTCTCTGTCTTGACACCTTTTTCACTGCCGCTTCGATCATGCGGTCGCTGTCATTTGACTGTCGTCGTACAACTCTCTCACTATTCTTTCTTGCACCAGTCATTCTTTCACTGTTGTTTCTCTTCGACTTTTCCTCTCTTTTCTTTCAAGCTTCTTTCCACTGTCCTTTTCACTGTTCTTAGTTCTTCTTTTGTCTCAGTGGCCTTTCACCCACTGTTGTTTCATTGTCCACTGTTCGATCACTGTTCTTTTTCTTTCACTCACTTTTTCTTTCACTGTGTTCTTTCACTGTGTTCTTTCACTGTTCTTTTCTGTTCTTTCACTGTCCTTCACTGTTCTTTCACTGTTCTTTCACTGTTCTTTCCCTGTTCACTGTTCTTTCCCTGTTTACTGTTCTTCACTGTTCTTTCACTGTTCTTTCACTGTTCTTTCACTGTTCTTTCACTGTTCTTTCACTGTTCCTTCACTGTTCTTTCACTGATCTTCACAATCTTCTTTCCCTGTTCTTTCTTTCACTTTTCTTTTTTCGCTGCTCTTTCTGCCACTGCTCCCCCCCCCTTTCTCCTTTCCCCCCCCAATTCAAAACAAAACGCTGCATCCGTGCCTCAACCCCTGAACCTTAAGTGTTATAGCTCTGTGGGTTTTGAACTTTTTACCTATCCCGGAGATATGGTGCCTATTGTTTGAAAAAGGGAGAAAAAACAGAGAAAAAAGTGAGATCGAGTCTGTTATGGTAGATTACCCCGAATCTACTGAGGACACCGAACACACAAAGGAAAAAAAGATGAAAAAGTTCAAAAAGACAAAATTTTGCAAGTGCAAGCATATGACGCCAGAACAGGAAAGAGGAAATGGAATATGTAGGGAAAGAGAGAGGCCGAAAAAGGCAAGGCTAGGCGGACCTGTGAATAGCCCTCCTTCGTGGATTTAGTCCCACTGACTGTGAAGATCCCCGCATTGTGGAATAGGTGGTAGCGGGTGGCAGGTGGTGAGCAGAGGGGACAGCGGAAGCTACCACAAGAAGAAGGAGAAAAGGAAAAAGGTAGAGGGAGAGGAAGACTATTTAGACGAGCGAATATGGTCTGAACATTCCACTGAAACTTCCAAGTTGTTTCTGTCTTTGTGGATGTGGCTCTGTGTCCGTTCCCGTAGTGTATGGAGAGAGCTGCATCACCGTCTGACTAACCTCTTTTCTTTTTAAAATTTTTAATTCAAAAACCTAAGCTATATTCTTCACTCATATACCTCGCTCTACCTGCCTACCTCTATTCCCGAAGAAGCGGTTTTTCTATTTCAGGGAGCCAGCATTCAATGTACCAACTATGCCTAAGCTATCCTAAGGTTATGGGTTTATTCCCTATTCTTAACTATCTCTGCTCTGTGCGGGGAGCAGCACCCAAGCTCCAAACACCTGGCACGGGCTGGAAAGTGACGTAACACACTTTCACAACCAGCCATGAGGGACAAGCCAACTTTCTCAGTCGCGTGAACCCGAAGTCTGCCACACGGGGGGTTGTGGGGAATGGGAATCGAATGGATGCCGTGGGGAATCGAACCCACGACCTCTCCTGTGTACCACTTACGTGCTCAACCAACTGAGCAACCTTTTCTTTCTTTCTTTATTACTATTATTACTATATTTTTTTTGTAGATGTCACCAAAGAACAGCTTTGTAAAACTGATTGATTGCCCGTCTCTGAAAGCGTACCGACTCTACAAGGAGTCTACATGTATATATCTGTCTATCTGTCTATGCACTTGCGCCTAAAAACTCGCCAACAGATTGATTGGCTTGTTTTGTGCAATTGATTGGTTTGTTGAAACTTTCCTCGATGCGACTGATTGGTCTGTTGAGCTTTCTTCGAAGCGGTTGATTGGTTTATGAACTTCAATACTTTATTATGCTTTTATCTCGTGCAGTTTCGAAGTGTTTGACAAGAAGATGCTGCGCCGGTCGGTGGATTACAGATTTGACTACCATGTTGCCATTGGATGTGGCGAGGACCTGGACAAGGTAGGAGCAGGAAGGGGTACCGGTAAAGCGTTTTTTTTTTTTTTTTTTTTTTTTTTGTGTGTGTGTGTGTGTGAAGCCTAGTCTTGCTGTTAGGAGGTGAGCTCTAGCCCTTTCAAGTAATGGGGAGGGTGGGAGGAAGAGCCATCGCTTTGCACCCGACGTGCACCGACCTCGCAACCTTCCGCTTGCCAAGTGGACACCTAACCAATGGTCTAAGAGGACTGGGGTGAAAGCGAAGTCCCTTTCAGAATACTTCGCCCCCCCCAGCACGGAATGCACCCAGCAGCCACAGTCATCATCATCGGTGATGCATCAACTCTCACAGTTGACGTAGCCATCGCACACATCTATCAGCCGAGTGGAACCCGGCCTTACGCCGGTTACTACGTCATCTCTCATAGGGAGTGTGGGATGGAATCTCCATCTGCATGTAAGCAACCAAGCGTCAATGGGACTTTGCTTTTGTAACTTACGATCCGGATTTCCGGACAGCCGTCCAGATTCCACTCTGGGTCTGCTCTTGGGTCCACGTTTGGGTCTGGGTTCCGGTCTGGGTTCTGGTCTACGGTTGGGTCCGGGGTCGGGTCTGGGCTCAGATAAATTATTAGAATTGTTAAATGTTATAAATCAATTTCGGAGAATTCCTTTTTTCAAGAAATCAAAAGCGCATCTGGAAAAAAAGATACGTTAGGCAGCATTGCAACACAGTTTAGCTATAATTCTTGGATCCTGAAGTCAACGTGCATTGGAGTAAAGACACCGTGTGAGTAGGCACAACACAGATGATAGGGCAGTCTCAAAGAACGAAAGTATGAAAGTACGATAAAAAAAAAGAACAAAAAACAAAAAAAACGATAGTACATGAATGAATGGTTGAAACGCCGGTGGGTATGGCACCTTAACCGGTTTTGCCCACCGCCACATGGTCCTCCTCAGGGGGACGCCACCAGTCTTCTTCTCTCACCAACTTCCCTTCCATCCGCTAGCCCACTTCCGCCGTAAACCCGCTTCCATCTCTGGAAATGTCCACGGGTTATTTGGTGTTAAGACTCAAAAAGACCGAAAGCAAAGAAATCATTACTTTTATACTCCTACAGTACTGCTTCTTACGACTCAACGTATCCACACAAACCCCTCACCAACTTCCCTTCCATATGCTAGCCCACTTCCGCCGTAAGCCCGCTTCCATCTCCGGAAATGTCCGCGGGTTATTCAGCGTAAGACCCGAAAAGACTGAAAGCGAAGAAATTGTTCCTTTTATAATCCTACATTACTGCTTCTTACGACCCAACGTATACCCACACAAAGCCCCAGGTCAACAGTTCGAACTACAACGCAAAAAGCTCCTTCGGGCTCCCGGTACTATCAAGGGTGCTCGGTTTCCGATTTTGGCGGGTTTCTACTCCACCTCACTTCTACCCGGCACTTGGTTGATTACGTACCGGTCCACTTTTTGAAGTAGTTTCGGTTCCGGTTCTGGTGCCGGTACCGGCCACCACACTGCTCAACTTTTGGATCGTGCGCGCAACAGCAAGTCACAGGTTCAAACTTCAAAGTCCAATCTGATCCAGGTACGTCCTACTAAGGAAGGAACCACTAACAAACGTCTTGTCCGGACCACCCGCAGCTCCTTGTCATAATCCCATATCAACAGTTTGAAATCGAAAGTGCATAATGCAACGTCCAGTTCCAGTGTCGTCCACAAAACTTACAAAGTCATAATCCCATGTCAACAAACAGTTTGAATCCAAAAGCGGATCCTGCAATGCCCAATACGACAAACAGACAGTCATAATCCCATGTCAACAAACAGTTTGAATCCAAAAGCGGATCCTGCAATTCCCAATACGACAAGCAGACAGTCATAATCCCATGTCAACAAACAGTTCAAATCCAAAAGCGAATCCTGCAATGCCCAATACGACAAACAGAGAGATTGAACCGCTGTTACTGCATAACTCCGGTAGACTCCTCCATACTATCCGACAATCAAACCCCTGCCCCCACTAATTTCCTAAGAGTCGAATGCTTAAACTATCAAATCAAAACAACAATATAAAATACTGACTTATTCAGTCAAATTCGTACACCACAGTAACACCAGGCAAAAACCACGCAAAAAAATCTACAGCTCATTGTTGAATGTTCAATCTAATCACAAATCGAAAAACAAAACAAAGGTCTCGAATCATTATGCAAGGTTCGATCCGAGAAGAAGGCAACCAACACCCTGTATTGGCATCACCCCGCCTACAAAGATCAAATTAATAAAGCCATTCATATAAAGGAGTCCTGATAGGGTCTCTCGGACTCTCCCCTTGGCAAACCTCTTCAGGATTTGTTTCAGGAAAGCACCCGGGAACTTTGATTCAAAGTTCGCTTTGCAACCTTAGCTCGCTCGTCAGAAACTCCGATCGCACATTTGTATTCTTATTGATGCGGTGTAGATAGCTGCACATCACAGCGCTCTTCTGTCCCTTTGCTTCCCCAGGATTGATAAGATTGACCATTTTTCAATTCCAAGCGGTCTTCTTCCCACAAGGCACGTTCGGTTTTGGACGACTGAATGCACCGGATGTACCGATGGTACTGGGCGACACTCATTCCCGTCGCCAAAAACTCGCAAGACTCACTCCCATCGTCCGTCCGGTTCAAGGACCTGGTCTCAAACTGTGCTTGTATCCATTCGACCTGTACACCTTCCTACCACAACGCAAGATGACAATGTTCATGTCGTCCATCAGTTGGAAACCAAAGACATTGTGTCTCTGGCTTCCCAAGCTTCGCAGCAATCAAAACTCTGCGAAAACGCCCACAATACAGGCCAGTGGTGGGCTTGTGCTTCCGAATCTGATCCAATTCCATGTCTCTCCAATGGTCGTCCCCCGTTGTTTGTCCAAAGCTACTGCCCCTTCCCTTCGGATTCACGCGTACCCGATTTCGCTTCTTATCTTCATGAAAGCTGATCACCCAGTCTACCGCAGCGATAATCTCGTCATGCGGCAGCTTACTGAGCATATCTTTTATGTCGTAAGACATAGAGATAAGTTCATAGTTGCCGTAGTGTGATTCTTCGACCCACCTTCTTGTTGAACCAATGATGTCACAGACTTTAGATTGAAATGCCAATCCTCCGGCAGAGAGAACAGTAGATGATTCAATGCCTTAGCTGCTGCTTTGGACGTAGGCTTGGAAAAAATTGGGCCGATCAGTCACCGTGACAGGTCTTTATGTTTCGGCATGAAGTAGGCTTCACCGAACTTGCCCTTCTTGTCCCACCTGATGAACTGCTGCAAACCCATGCTCTTCGCGTCTTCTCTTCTCATCTTCATATGTACAACTTCTTCTGCTTCGTTAACAGCAACATAGCTTGGTGAGATGACAAACGGCATGACACCAGTGTTTCACCTGGATTTCTGTCCAGGAGGACCTTCGACTGTCGTACTCGTTAACATCCAGGCACTTCTTCTCCTCGCTTGAAGCCGTTAAGCATCTGGTCACCTCCCGCTCAGGATCCCTGTGATTCGCTCACGCCCATGACTTGATGCGGGATGCTATCTCCTGCATGAGTAGCTTCCCACGGTCAGGATGCACGACGTCCACCTCCGGCAAACGAACTTGCAAGTGCCCTCCTACTCTTGGGCAGGGGAAACCTGTACACGTACAAATAGACACATCAGCTCTAGCAAAGGCTCACCAATTGTGCAACAGGTCGGGCTACTGAGGGGTTCTTAACCCACATGTACTCCATGCGACGTTCGTAAGGTAGGTAGGTAGCTCCATACGTTCGATTTTATCATTTACGAAATTCCTGACCTCCACTTATCTAACCTGATCCTAGGCTACCAGCCGGGCCGCCCGGGGCACCCTATTTTCCCGGACGGCCCAGCCGTGCAAGGACCAGGGAAGGTCCTAGCAAAAAAAAAAAAGAAAACAAAAAGAAATCCGGAAAAAACTATGTTATGCAGAAAAATAAACTGAACAACTTTTGCCTCAGGGTCACATGGAATTTCGTTACCAAATTTAAAATAAAAAATAAAGTTATCACTACGCGGCCGTGCTGTGCCTCTAGTGCCAGCGGCGTGTCTGGAGTGTATTTTTTGGCTGTGACAGACCTTTCTTTGTTTCGTGGGTGTTTTGCTGGCTTGTGATGGGGTGTGAACCGACAGTC